TGCGCAACGGTGACGTATCGTATGCTCCTATCGACGTTTCCGCGATCCTCGACCAAGTCCGTCGTCGATATTCGGGACGTTCGCGTAAAAATTTGAACACGACCGCGTCGACGCAACAAAGTTTTGCCGAGCCGTCGCGAAGGCGCGAACCGACACGCGCGAAAGTGTAATTAAAAAACAGAAGCCAGCTCGTTATCGGAAAACCGGATGCGAATCATACGAGTTTCCAGCGCTCGCGCGGCAATGGCGCGCGACTCGTCTCGTGTATCCGAAGTCCATCGCGTTGACAACCGTAGTTGACGCTTTTCACCCTCGACGATTCCATTTCAACAGGCGTCGATCGGTCGGTCTCACATGCGCGTGTCCATGTCTCGGGATCGATTTGAAAAACGAGATCTCGGAAGAGATTCACCCAGATTTTAGACATTGCGACGTCCGAACGTATTACCCGAACGACCAGAATTTCTTGTATAAGGAACTGAATCCACGAGCGAACTCGATCCAACAGCTCGACATTTTCGACGACGAGGGACTCGTTTTTCGAGCCTTATCGCGAGGACGAGACGTATCGATGCGAGCCTAGCGAGCAGAGGAAGATGGAAAGTTGAAACGATCGCCTAGGGAAAATCAGAGAGGGTAATTGAGATAAACCGCGAATAGAAATTATCACCGGATTAACCGCGTTATCGCGGCACGAGTAAAAGCGGTGGCTCGGGGTCGAAAGAGAGACCACGACGGGGGCCGGGGGGCTGGCAGGCAGGCAGGAAGGCAGGCAGGCAGGGAGGATAGCGGCGTGGCTCGTTCCGACAATGGTAAATATCGTTAGCGCTGGTGTAATTGGAACACACCGGGGAGAGAACTCGCGCTGTAACTCGAGCGTTCAATTAAGAGACGGACTCTTAACCCGGTAGAGAATCGTACGTTTCCACGCGTCGAATCTTCGCGCAGCTCGGATGCCGGCACAAATTGTTAGAAATTAACGACCGCGGACACGAGCCGGTGCCGGGAGGAGGAGAGCCAGATGCGTTAGCTGGCTAATCCCCGGAGCATTATTTTTAGCGCCGTTTTTAAACGGTACCATCATCGTCGGGAACAAAGCGGCGAACACTGGTTTTAATATACCGTTTAGCGCGATCAAACCTACCGATGACACGCGGTTAAACAGTCATGCCAGAAGAATCTCAGCCGTTCTATTTAGATCTGTGAGCTACGAGCTGCTCACCGTAGCTAGCTCTCTTTCACCGTACCGTGGTGTCTACGCGTTATCACATAAAATTCAAACGATTCCATTGCTTCGAAGCGATAAGAGAAATTGTTAAATCGTTTTCTTTACGACCGTTTCGCGTCGTTAAAATTTCGATCCCGAAGAAAATGCTGCTGCACTCGATACCGAATTACATGAAGACCGGAACGAGAAAAATGAACGTTTGCATCTACTCGGACGATCGGTTCTCGATCCCAGCCGCCTCGGGAAGAACCGACGTCGCCGGCATAAATCACAGATGCGTCGCCGTTCACGCGTTCGCGAGGACGCGCGGATCGGTGCATCAGATCGCACGATACGCGATAACGTCGGCACTCGACTCAGATCGTAACGCCGTGCACCTGTCGCCGAACCTCGACCGATGACGCGATAACGGTAATCAGACTTCCGATGCGAAATAAAATTTGAGAAATACGAAAGACGAAACCTAGGAGATACTCTGTCAGGACACGCGTATGCGTTTCGCTGCTAACATTGCACAATCGAATTTGCCGACGTACCAGCTCTCTCGTTCTACCGAACGGGACAGACACATCGATTAATTTTTCATGATCACAGTCGCACCGATCCGTTGGGCACGTCCTTCGCAGCCGGAAGAACGAAGGAGAAATGGATCGGAGATAACGCTAAGAGGAGTCGCGTGACCACGAATTCGTATTCACGGCACGCGATCGTACCGAGTGTTTGTGTAAGTATACGCGTTCGATTCGGTCGTTGTCTCTTTCCGTCGGTCTACTAAATCGACCGTTCGCCGATCAACGTCACGGGAGACGGCTTAATACGACGGGAACGAGCCGCCGCGTCGATGATTTCCAATGCCGGTTACCGAAGATCCTCGAGACCGATATTTTTCCCGGTGACAAGCGACGCCCGTACCCAAGTACCGATGACTCGTGAATATTTTCCTACCAAGCGTTCGTCCACAGTAAGACGATTTATTACTTGGATCGGTTTCGTCATTCCCGTTCAGGTCGTGTTCCACATTACACACTTTGTACAAGTGTACGCGATGTAGTATCTCGTCGTTATTGTACATCTGCGTACGGCACGTTGTAAACGGATCGTAACCGATTTATCCCTGAATCCTAATAGACGATCAACGTGCAAGAATGGTTGCGCTTGTAAAACGAAACGCTCGTAAATAAGTAATGTTTATAGATCCGAAGTTTCCTAATGACCAGGAGAGAAAGATAAGAGGAAATGAGTGTGTACGATGCAGCAGACGAAAGCGCGAATTGTGCCATGAGCTTTGGAAGCGAGAGAGAAAGAGACGCAGGGACGAGTACCAATAAATTTTAATGAGAGTTCGGTAGCCCGGCGACGCAGGCGAACCGTCAACGAACAATATTATCCGGAGATGCCGTGGACGGCTTCCAGGACGTGCCTTGTTCCATGAAGAATGAACGCGAAGAATTTCAGCGTTTCAACGGCTACTACGTTAACTGATACACCGACTTCTGTTCGAAACGTTCACTTTAAAAGTGAAACGTGATCTCGACTATCGTCGATGATATTAGGAGGGGGCACTGTGCGAAACGGTGTTGTCACAAATATTTATACACGACGAGACGAAACTGGACGAGTGAACATTGTGCGCACAGAAGACAGTGGACTCGAGCAAGAGGACGAGACGTTTCACACGGACGAGTCCGACACGCACCGGGTTTCTGCCGGGTTTCCCGTGCCAATTTGTACGGGCGCGTGACCTATCCAGAAGAGGCGGGAGAACGCGTCCGGGTCCGGCGGCGGCCGCGGGAGTGCCGCGACCAGGAAAAAACAAAGGCTCGGCCATTAATAACTCGGCGGGGTGTTCCCCGGAACGCTTACGCGTCTGTTACGGGCCTAATAACGATGTAATAGGGCCGAGGAAACGAGCCAGAAGGAACCACCTGGCGTACCTCGAAGAGAAACACAGAACGACCGACTCGGGACGATGATCTCACGTGACTTGGTCTGAGAGGCTCGACGCCTTTTCCAAAAATTTCTCGCTACGAATTCATTCCACAGTACATAGCGTACGAAAAATAGTTGTGTACGCGAACAGCGTGAGCCTCGTCGTGTGTCTCCAGTGAAAGTATGAGTATTTTTAACCTGTAGCGAATGATCAGACTCGACGGAACGGACGATCTCTCATCGTCACGGTAACGAAGAAGAGTGTCCGCGGGTCGAGCGAACGAGGGTCAATCGTGATCTATAGCTTTGGAAATCAGGAGTTATCGTCCCCCAGGCCGTTGGACGTCGTTCCTCAAGCAACAGTTTTCTAACCGGGAAACGTCTACTCGTCTCGTCCTATTTAAGGTCAAACGATATCGACGAGATTTATACGACGTTGAAATGGATCCCCGTCGATCGGTGGACAGCGGACAAACGCTGGGTGTGACGTACGTGTACGTATTGTAAGACCGTTCGGAGTATCAGAAGCCGGACCTGTGCGCGCGATTCAATATTTACGTGGTAAACGAAACGTACGACCGAACACACATGTTTTTCAAGCCGACTCCACGAACGCGTTTTATTTCGCACGATCTGTCCACGCGACGCGACCTTCACACTCCTCTGCTGCTCGTACGACGCACTAAATCTGACGACACGATCGTCGTCGATGATCCGCGTGCCGTTTGTTGTTCGCGTACCACACGCGTCGGACCAAGGGGAGAGATGGTCGTCGCGCATCGAAGTTTCGGTGAAGGTTGCAGAAGGGGTGTCTCGCACCCTTCGTTCAGGTGTCTCGCACTTGTTACTCGTCAACATCCAGATACGATCGTACACAGAGGGTCACGACTGTACACAGAGGAGACTATGTCCCGGCAAGGGAAACTCGTTTCCGATCGAGCGGACCGTTAAATCACTCGCGGGTATAAATTACCCTCTGCACAGGGTATCGACGGAATAACGCGCGCGCGTCCTCTGTCCGATCCGATCGCATCTGACGTCACGAATATTATAATCGACAACGATAGAATATTTTACACAATGATCACAGCAGTGGTGCTACGCGCGCTACGTTTGACACGATGTCACCGATATCTGCAACGTTCGTTACGACATAGCTGTACATCCGTGATACCATCCTGAATCAGCGACGATCATACCTCGAAATCGCGATTCATCTACTGATCTGATTTAAAAGAAGTAGCTAGGGTGCAAGATCGGGGACGCAACTCTTTCCTATTCGTGGATCACTCGAAGGAGAGTCCTCAGTAACACTCTCTCTCTCTCTCTCTCTCTCTCTGACTACGAATTCTTTGTGGGAAATTGTTTCGAGTCGATCGACTCGTCGTGAAAGCACGCAAGGTCAAGCTTCTCTCGTCGCATTTAATCACGCCCTTCGAGAGATCCGTAGAGCGGAAGAGCGAAGCTCACCGTCAAACTGTGCAAGGTCGAGGGTGAAAGACAGATTCCACGTACCACGTCCAGACAAAGTCCGCGTTCTAAAAACTAAAAAAACGAGAATATCTCACGGGAACCGTTTCGAGGAGTGAGATTACGCGGGCGAGTTCTCCTAGTCGCTCATCAGTACATTCATACTCGAAGAGAATCGTGGACACGGCGTACAAATAGGGAGAATCATTCGCGTATCGATCGATGATCGACGTAACGTCTCGACGGAAGTCGTACGTAGAATCGGTCGGAGTGAGAGAGTTCGACCACCGAGCCCTTCGACCTCGAGAGCGGAGGACTCGCGGGTCCGGTTCTAATCGATTAGAAATGAAACGAGTCGATCATCAAGTCTGACCTTCGCAGGTGAATTGGCCGTAGTGCTTCCCGCTGCTCTTGTCCCCGCAAACGACGCACTCGATGTTCGGAGATTTGTCCGTCTGCGAGCTGCCGGATTGGGAGCTGTTCGCCTGGCTCCCGGGGGTGGTGCTAGGCGGCACCGGGTCCCTGGGCGTGAGAACCGCGCCGACGGGCACGAGGCAGGTGATGTCTTCCGGCGTCGCGGACGGGGTCAGGTGGGTAGGTGGCATCGGGGGCGGCGGCGCTATCTGTATCGGGCCCGGGCCGGCTGCCGCTGCCGCGGCTCCGGCGGCTGCTGCAGCCGCAGCGGCGGCCGCACCGGTCGCGGCCAGGCTGGCCCCGGGGTCCCGCGTGGGCCACGAGGGCGGCGCGGCTACCAACGCCATGGAGGCGGTGGTGCCGCGCGCCGGGAACCCCACCTCCAACGTGGTGGTGAACTCGGAGTGGTGGTGTCCAGCTGACACCCGGCCAGGGAACAACGTCGCTGTCGCGGCCGGGTAAACCACCCCGGCAGTCGCCAGGGCGTCAGCGCCTCCCGTCCCTCCTCGAACCACCCTGCCGGTTTCCGATTCTCGACCGCGACCACCGCCGACCACCCCGGCGACCGAGCCGCTCGTCTCTTTGCTCACCGTCTTCTCTCGACACTTTCCACACCCTTCGAACGTGTTCGCACTGACGTCGACGACGACGACGACGACGATGACGATGACGACGACGACGACGATCGTCGATGTATTCGACGTATCCGAGTCCGAACTCGCGCACTCTCACTCACTCGCGGGCACTCGAGCAGAGTTCGCGACGCGACGACATTCTATCGCCGGCGGTTCGTGGTAGCCGCGCGAACGTTCACCGTGTTCGTCTCGCGGGATCTTCTTCACTCGTTATCGCGAGTACCGATACCGCGCGAGGTATTCCCGTTTCCGCGCACTCGACACCGTTTCACGCGTCGTATCCCGGAAGACACGCGACACTGCCGTGAGGCCCTCTCTGCCCGTTCCGGGTGACCGGGTCGAACGTCTCGGGTCGAACGTCTCGGGTCGAACGTCTCGTAAGATCGGGATCGAGATCGTAGATCGCGATCGCGCGCACGCGGTAGATCAGTCGCGTATCCCCGCGCGTCGTTCCGTCCGTGGGCACCGTGGTATATCGACGCTGGCCGGATGCGCGGTGCCACGAGCCACGCAGGGTGGAGAGGGTGCGCGCCACGGGGTAGGTCACTCCGCTGTTCGGGTGGGAGTCGGGAACGGAGGGAGAGGAGCCGTGCACGAAATCGTATCGCGATATCGAGCCGACGCGACCACGAGACCGAGAAGGATCGCGAACCGTCGCGGTCACCGAGGGAGGAGCGAGGAAACGGAGGAGGCGAAGGTGGAGGAGAAGCCGCGGAGACGAACGGAGAACCGGAGAGACCGAGCGCGCGCGAGACGGAAAGAGAGAGTGAGAGAGAGAGAAAAAGAGAGAGAGAGAGAGAGGGAGGAAGAGAGGGTCGGCGCCGCGCGCGGACGCGCAACCCAGTCGATGAGTTGCGCGTGTGCCCGTGGATTCCGAAGCGCGCTCGTGCCGGCACAAGCGGGCGGAGGAGAAGAGAGAGGTGATGCTCGACTACCGCCTCGATACGACTATTCTTGGGGCCGACCGGAGACCGACTGCGGACTAAGACGACCCCTGACACCGACCTGTCCCCCACCCGGGCGAACTCTCTCGCGGGTCTCTCGCGGGTTTCGCCGGTTGCCATGGCTACCGAAGGTGGGGTCGAGTCCCGGGCTCGCCCCGGTGCCGCTCTCATTGGCCGGTCGCCTCTCGTGCCCTCGGGCCCCCCCGAACAGAGCGAGAGAGAGACCCGTTTCACCTTCCCGCGTCACCCTGCCGCGACCGCCGCCGTCGTACACTTTGCCACCGAAGAGGCTACGAACCTCGCTCCCCTCCCCTCCTGTTCGCCCTCCGCCTCGCGTGCCTCGCCGTCACCCGCTCGCTCTTTCTTCTTCCCCTTCGCCCGACTACGTCTTCCGTCTTTCTTCACTTCTTCTTCGCCTCCTCCTCCTGCTTGCCGTCTATCTTTTCGCCTCGCTGAAAAGTTCTTCGAGTAGCAGCGCATGGCCTCTTGCCCCCTGCGGTCGCCACCGACCCTTTTTCCCCGATCGACCGGGTCGTACCGATTTTTGACGTGTCCGTCGTGTTTGAAACAGTTACCCCAGTTGGACTGGCGCGATCCGCTCTGTTCTCGAGCTTCGCGGGAGAAACTTCCCATGACCGCGAACACGGAGGAACAAATTCTCGCGCGAGTTCAGGGAGCAGAATTCTGGGTCGAGCTTCTATGTCTCGCGCGCGAATTCTTTCCAGCGAATCGCATTTTTAACATAGCCACGACAAGTAGATAGTTTTCACACGATCTCCTGTCGCGTCTTCGTTCGCGACTCCTTCCTCGAGTCGGGGGCAGCTCGCGGAGCTCGGTGGAACTCGAGGGGCAGTTCGTCGCGTTTAGAGAAAACGTAACGGTTCCTCGAGCTCGAGGGAGAGAGAAGCGGAACGGGGGGACTCGCTCGTCGTTCGTGATCGGTGGCCGGCGAAAGGGGAGACGCGGAGAAGTTATCGCGAAGGACAAACGCTAGCGTCTCGAGCGAGATACAGGTATAGAACAACGCGGAGACGATCGCCGAACCGTCGGCGCTGGCCGTCTTTCACGGATTATTTCGTTCGGTTTCCTTGGATACTTCTTTTACGGGCGAGGAACGTTCCGGCGACGCGCGGCTCGGGTACGAGTCGTGAAACCTGACGAGGACGACGAGAGGGATGAGAGGTCACGGGAGTAGAGGGCGGCGACCAATGAGGACGGTGGAGTCAAGTGGGGCGCGAAAAATGGGCCGGCCCGCTTCAATCCACCCCCTCGGGGGCCACCGGCGGTAAGGGTAGCAAGAGTAGGGTGAAACGACGGCCTGGAAGACGAGCGGGACCGTCGACGCAGGGTCAGTCAGGTCGCGGACCTGCACCTCGCCGTTTCCGTGTCTCCTCTGCGTTTCCAGGGGTTTCCGCCCTTTGCCGTTCTTCCGCTCTTGCCCTCTGCTCTCGCCCCGACCTTGCTCGCCTGCCTTTTCGCTCTTTTCTTCGCCTCGCACGTTCCTCGTCTTCGGCCCAAAGGTCCCCGCCGAGCGATTCGAACGCGTTCCTCGATCTGTCGAACCTCTATATCTAAACATCTATAATATCTGTTTAACCTCGATCTCGAATCTTGCATCAGATCTCGTACAATGATCGTACCACTCGTCTCCGTCACCCTTCATGCAATTTTCAGTTGAATCGGCCGACCACGCAGAAGAATACGCACGAAATTCGTTCGAACGCAAATCGAAAGTACGACTTTGCCCGCGGCTTCAGATTTGTCGCGATTATTTCGTACGAACGAACGACCGTACAGGTCTCTGATGTACTCGCGAGCAATCGAGAAGAGTCAACGATGGTCGCGGTGAAACGTGGAACGCGGGATTCGAGGGTGGCGAAGCGAGTAGCGTGGACGGCGGGGGGCGAACAGGGGGTAGGCTCCTGACGGGGAACCGAGGGAACGGGGTTGAAAGACCAGGAATATGTACCGAAGGTGGGGAAGGGGGGGGGAAGTCGAGGGGGTTGGCGCCGCGCACAAGTGCATATCGGCGAAGGGGTGGCCGAACAATGCGCTCTAGATATGATTACCGGAAACCATCCCATAATTACTTTTTGTACGTCGAAAACGCACCGAGCCCCCTCGTTTCGTCCTGCCACACTCGCCCCGTCCTCGGTCTCTCCGCCGCCGTTAAAACCACCGGCCTTCTACCCCGCTCCTCGTTACTCCTTCGGCTTGCCCCCTGTCGGCTCGCCTCCCCGCTCGCTGCCCTTAAAACCGCGTCTCAACCTGACACGCGCGATGCTTTTAAAGTGCCAGCCAACGTTAACGCCGCACTCGAGATGATTTATCGAAATCGTTGCGCGACTTCCTTCTCTCTCTCTCTCTCTCTCTCGCTCTTCCCGGCATTCAGCCGAATCTTCCGCCGAGAAGCCAACCACTTGCCGCCTGTGACGCACTCTTTAAAGAGGACTCGGGAGAAGTGCGATCCGTCTCGAACCGACGACGATATGCCTCACACGATCCAAATCCAGAGCGCTTCCGAGTCAACTTCTACTACGGCCAAACGCGCGTAGACGCGTGGAACGAAAACGACGGAAGCGCGTATCGACCGATAGGTAGTCCGATCCAACACGGTAACTGTCACACGGTGTGACTGCCGGCTTCAAAGTTTCTTCCGTGCGCAGTAAACAAATGACAGTTGTACGAGGCGCGAGTCGTGCAATGCATCTTCAGCATTAGAGGAACAATACATTTCGTTCGATAGGTCAGATCGACGGAGACGTTTAATCGACGGCCAATGCTGGTCGATATGTTCTTTGTGTCCAAAGATACGCCGCGCGAGCTGGAGATCAAACGTACTCAGCTCGAACGACGGTGGATGCGACGGAAAGCAGTGGCATTTTGGGAATCGGATTAAAAACACGGGGGCGTACGATTATTCGAACGAAGCGCGAACAGAACTGCTGGAATGTCGCAAGAGGGGGGGTGGGGAGGTAGGTAGAGATGGTGGGCGAGAACGCGGCAAAAAGGGGAGAATCCCTGGTTTCGCTCGAAGCGGTGCTACATTATGAGTGTGTTCATATTTCCTGCGTTGCCTCCCGCGCTTCCCTTATCTGTCTCCTCCTACCCCCGGTCGGGGCCCTTTTGTTCGCACTCTTTCGACTGTTAATGCCGCGAAATTAACTCCGCGGCAGGAGCGAGTTTAAGAACTCGCTACAAGGTATATACACCTCGGCTACCAAACAGCCAACCCGACCGCGATCCCCGCCATTGTCCCGGACCGGCGGCGTATTATTTTAACATTATCCGTTATCTGCCGTCGCTTAATTAATTTATTTATGAGCGACGACGCTCTTCCTCCTACTCCTACATTCTTTCAGGAAGAGAGCGGAAGAATCGAGGGGCGGAAAGAATGAAATCGTCCCGCTAGGAGATTCGTCTCCAGAGGTTCAACCCCTTGTCGCGACGGTGGTCGCCGACTCGGGTCCGACCAAAGGACACGGCCCTAATAACGCTCCGGACTTTATTGCCTCTTCGCTTTATCGTCGAGGCTACGAAACTAGCCGAGGGGTGCGGCTCGAATCGTGTGCTCGGGTTTGCCGAGAAAATAGAAAATCGCGAACGTTCCAGCCTCTCGGCGACGTTTGCCTTCTGGAAAAACGCTTTATTTTCGACGTCGACGTCGGACGAATTTTGTACGGAAGAGGACATATTCGAAGATTCCCTCCAACAAAATTAAAGACGCACGTATACGTGACCGTCTCATCCGAAGTGGTCACCGGAGAGAGAGAGAGAGAGAGAGAAAGAGCGTCACCGTCGAGTCACACGGTCCGGAGGAGACGGTCTCGGCCGATCCTTCCGGTTCGTGACATTCCGATCGGGGAGAGTTTTCGGGAAAACACGCGGAAATCAATGCGGGGAAAATCGGCCGCTCCTCGTTCGCCCCGGTAGATCGAGCGATACGTCAAACGATTCGTAGGGGAGAAGTGGCCGTCGGGTACGGTGAGCATTTGCATAGGGGAGGAAGGATCGAGTGGTCGATCGCGTCTCGGCGTGGTCAGTCCGACCGAGGCCGGGTTCCCGCCTGGTCACCTGTCCCACGATTATTCGGGGTCAAGATTCCGAGAGGGACCGGCCGGCCCCGGGAACCCCGACGTCTTCCGGACGTCCGAGTTTACGATAAATTAATGGTTTTTCAGGGGGGTCACAGCCTTCCACGGGGCGACGGTCTCACGCGAAAATTCAAATCGGCCAACTGTCTCTTAATTATTTATGGCCGCTCGCCTCGTCGGACTCGATCGTCGTCCGACGACTGTCCTGCTAGACGAAGCGTTCTCGCTGTCCAGTTTCGACGATATGGACGTGATCTAAACGCGTGTACGACCTTGGAGAGAGAGAGAGAGAGCAACCGCTCGAGTATTCTTAAACAAATTCAGTGAGGAAGGATACGAGAGAGAGAAAGAGAGATATTTCGATCCAGATTTCCTTACAGTTTCGTGCCGACGGCTATCTATATACGTCAGTCAAAAGTGTAATTAATTATTTCTAGGTATAACATTACCTGCTCCATGGAAAGGAACCTAAAGCATGCGCCAAGTACAAAATTTCACGCGTAACAAGTCCTTTTGCCGAGAACGGGGAAGGAACAGGGGAACGGAAAATTGTCGAGACATCTGGTGCTGACACGATCGACGTACGCGATACTTAGCGTGCGCGAAGCCGGGAAAGATTTTGCGACCGATCGATCTCCGAGCTGTCAATAAAGCTGTTTACACACGAGAAAATTTCACGGGAGATTAATGAAACGACAGGAAAATTCTTTTAAACGGTACGGTCAGTCCGACGCGACCATTAGCGGCTCTCACCTGCGAGCGAGCGAGCGAGCGAGAGCGCGTGTGTAATCGCTTTTCTTCCCGGCGTGGAATTACCGAAAACCGGCCTCCGAATCGTTAACGATCCTGACCGGTATTGTTCAGGCCTGGTTCGACGGTTACGAATAGAATGAAAGCCGAGTATCCGTTCCCGGGCTGG